TGTTTGAGAAATAAAAAAAAGAAAAAAAGAAAAAACGATAACAGCGTTATTTGGTGTATCCAGGCACCATTTGCATGGTATCGAAGGAAAATATAATTATGAAACGTTCGGTGCGTTGATCTCGTTATTACGAGCGCTTACACGACGCATATATGGAACTGCAAATAGAGCAGATCGACGAGGAATATCTATCGCGGCTTCGTTTATCGACGCCACGTCGCAAGAGACGTCACGTTTACATTGTAATACACAGTCGTGCGCTGTGCTCGTTACACGCCCGCTGTTCTAACGGGTCTGAAGACATTCATTCAAGCAATAATTTAACCCTTAGACGAACACGCACGTCCATTTCACGTAAATTACGGAACGAGGCATATAACAGGCCTCGGCGAAAAAGACCCGTGCGTCGAGTAATTCTAGCATATATTAACATCGTGTAAGTATCTTTTCTCGAGCTACGATGGCCAAAATTTTATTCGAGTAACGAATGACGAATAAAGTCAACGTACAGCGATTTATTCGAGACGTTTCATCCATCAACGATGTAACGAGCTCGAAAACGTTGTTACGTGTAATAATGAATGCTCAGTGGCTACATGCACGAGTTGCCTTCATTAATATTAATGCGTTCATTAAATAGAGAACGGATTAATGTAGATCACTCGTTAAAAGAAATAATATTATTCACATATAAATATTACGTATATAACACACTGAATATTTAACCGACCCTCAGGCGTGCATTACTTAATTTCGGTTGAAATATGTAAGGCACAGAATAAAGCGATTAAAAGGAGTATTACCTAAAATGGTTAGCACTAATTCAATTAAGTCAACGAGTTCTTAACGAAATAACGAGGGCTCGGGTTCCTGCAGATCCTGGGCGGTCGGTTAAGGGCTAATAACTCCACGGTTGTCCCGTGGAAGGATAGGGATTGACCTACAGACTCGCGAGACGTAAATCAGTCGAAATTTGTTATCTCGGTTGCTAATTACAATTTAAAAACGAGAACACTCATGGTATCTTTCGTTGCGCCGGAAATAAAGAATTTACATGGCGGCTAATAACAAGCCTATTAGCAAAATTGAGAGCAGCGTCGAATCATAAACCTGCCGGCCTTATTTTCGCAGTGTGTTGGTGCAGGCTGACCGAGCATCCTACGTCGATGCATAGTCTGAAATGGACGACTATTCTAGGCGCAAACGTTCCAGAAACGCGTTTATGGTCCCTCGGCAACCGACGTCTGAATTCGGATAAAATCGAAGACACGTGCATTCGCGGACGAGCAGAAATGGCCGACTTCCTTCCGTTAAAATTCGTCCGAGCGTGTCTAATGCCAGCTGGCAAGTATGATCGTGAAACGCACACTAACCGGACACTTTGAATTACTTGGGTACTAAGCAAAAAGAACAAAAAAATGATCGCGCAAGTCTTCTAGGCACTGTACGATCTAAGACACGCGTAACACTCCGTGCATGAGGCTTTAAAATACCACTGTAGAACCCCAGGGATCCAAAGTATCTTCCACTACTCACACTTTGTATCTATATACCAATTTCGCCATCTGTGTGCAGTGTAAACGAAACAAAAGCTCCCGACGACTCCGTTAAAACGGAAAAATGGAAAAATAAGAAGGAACCTGTAGCAGAACAGCTGCGATTTCCAAAACGAGTGATGCACACGTGCGGCACACGTTGCTCTAGGGCTACGCTCATTCGCAGCGCGCACGAATAAACTACTAACCGAGGAATATTGATCCACCGGTCTGCATAAGATCGCTATCGTCGCGATGTTTCTAGAATATCGCCACAACCGGGAACTCCTTGGTTGCTCCCGAATGGATTAAACGAATATCAAAGAAAGAAAGAAAAAAACGTTGAAAAGAATTGGAGCGATAGTCACGCGAGGTCGGGGCGCGCCTCGACTCGCGATTCGCGCCGAAATGAATTGCTAGATACCGCGGAATGCCCTGCGAACCGATGTTTAAAATCACCGCGAGTCATCCACGGGAAAATTTTAATGAAGACGTATGAGGAACTGGTTCGACGTGCAGCGAAAGGTACAAGCACACTGCGTACAGGACGCGTCGCATAATACCGGAGATGCATGTAACGGAGTTAATCGCATTACAGTGGCAGGGACGATCAGAAATCCCGATTGATCGCTCCGCGACGCTGCTCACCGCGGATAATCGTCACTGGTATACATAATTTACCGATAAAACGTCACTGACGTCGTGGTAAAACGGAATCACCATTTTACCAACGGTAACTTTATTTTTAGTTGACTCCATAAACTATAAAGTCACCTCTAGGGGTGGCAAATTGATCTCCAATTAAACAAATTAGTGGGACATGGTTTTATTAAAAAAAATTATGTGTATGCATGTAAAAGTTTGGTATTGTACACTTCTCATCATAATATTAGTGTCATTTACCAAATCAGATTAGATACCAAAATAAAAATGATTAAATGAAAACGATTACAATGGAAAGGGGTAAAATTATTATTCGACCGACGACTCAATGGATGAAATGAACTATCTGAAAATCTTTCTAGTTGGGTCTAGAAAAAAGTTATTTTCCCAACAAGACAATGACCCCAAACATATGGCACGTATCATGGAGTGATCTTTATATAACACTCCACTGTGTTTAGCAACAGACCTTTAATGTCCTGAGACAAATACGATACTGTTGGAGGTCGCTGGACGATTGTTCGAATTGTTTACACACGTAGGACAGAATCACGTGTCACCGAACACGGTAATTTCGGAGCGATACAGAAACAAAATTAACGACGTCGAAACACGTATACGAATAACGTAATTCCGAGGAACAAATTCCACGAGGCGTGCAATAGCAGAAGAACATCCGACGGTGATTGATCGTCATCGATATTTCTCGCACCGGCAACGATCTATCGTGGCACATGTGTATTTATTACTTGACGACCAGAGTTCAACGTTACTCCAATAATTCCTACATGATTATCTAGGTAAAACATTTCTATTCGAGTAATCTATTCTGAGTAATCTACCTATTTGTGTCGAGCATGTGATGTCAGTATGGTTTGAGTAACGTTTACAATATTTTTGTGTAATACGTAATTTCGGAGTACCGCAAAAAAAAAAAAAGAAAAAAAATCACGTGCAACGCACAAACCACACGAAAATCACGTAAGAGCACAACACCTAGACAACAAACACGGGCGTGCAAATGCGAAGAATTGTTTTCTCGTTTACATTGCTAGTAAATATTTATTTGCCTGGCCCGTTTCGGGAAGAAAAGGTTACTGGAATGACGAACATTTGATTCGTGAGTCAGGAATACGAGTTCATCTAGATAAAGCGTTATCATCTAGATAAACAATGTGCCTAACACTGCGATGACGAGTACTTAGTAGCGGACACGTTGAACCTCTCTCGTGTAACATCGCCACGAACCCCGTGGTCGACGACGTTCGAATGCCGCCGATCGGGAATCCGTGGGCAATACAAGCGCGCGCGCGCACTCGTGCACATACGGCGGCAACTAGAGCGTAGGTGTTACACGAATCAGCCGGCAGTGAATTCGCGGTAAGAGATAACGGTAATCTCGAGCAGAGGGATTACTTGAGCGACGGTGCGAATTGCAAGGCCGTCGGCGTATGACCTTAATGAGTAACGAGCATAGCGCTTACGCGGACACACGAGGAGCACGATGTATTCTGTCTGCTGCTCGCACGTACCACACGCACGCTGGCTCGCGAAGGGTGTCGTGCAGCCGAGCGTGTGCACCGTAGCCCTGTCAAAAGGTGGCATGTTTGACACTGCTCGCGACTGACGTCGCGTTGACAGGTGTGTCCCTGTCACCTGGGGTTAGGTTAACCAGCCGCGAGCAACGTGAACGTTGCGAAAGACACGGAAAATGGGCCCGATTCGTTGGTAGAATTGCGACGATTTTCGCGATCGTTCCTCCTAGACACCGTGCGTGCAGATGGCGTGATTTTTATGCCAATTACGGATCACACCGGTTATTCGTCTACACCGACGCTCTCGCCGTGCATCGTACCTCGATTCCACGCAACAATCACGACAAGTAAATCGAACAATCGCAATAAATACCTCGCTTTTCGACGAGCTCCGAAATCTCCTCCTTGTTGTCGGCCATCTTAGCACCAGTCACTGTTCACAATGCACGCTGGGTAAAAACAAACGAGCACCACCACGCCGCCACGATTGGTGGTTCAGCGCCACCTGTACGCCGTATTGGAAGTCAACCAACCGGTGACGTCGTCAGGGTCGTATCGACGTATCGAATAATAAAGGCATCTACAGGGACCATTGAAATTACTCACAAATTAATGGTAATAGCGTGAAATTTTCATTGCAACGATACACGAAATCGACATTTTTTTCGTGCGAATATAGGACTGCTGCTTTGATGAATGCGTGGTATTCATATTGCGCATTAATATATTTTAAGCGTTTATTTCCATATAGAATGTTGGCAGTAGCGTAATCATCAATTCTAGAATCCATGTGCTGATCTGTAAAGATCAAACTCTGTAAAAGAAAAGTTAATTCTTTCCCGAAATATCGTACTACATTAATAAAAAGAAAGTGGTACTTTTAATTTTGCAAAAAATGAATCAGCCGAACTCGTAAAGCGATATGTATTAGATTTAACAAAATTTTTGTTTAAAATACTACAGAACCTATGTCTATAAAATCATCCATAATTTAAAAAAATGATCAAAAATTAACTGTTATTACGTTTGTTATAGAGTCAAAACCCTTCAGATTCAGAAACCTGCCTGCATTGCACATGTCGCACTCCCTTAGTTATCCAACTTCTATGGAGAAAAATTTTTTTTATATTTTTAAAGTGGATGTAATTATACTTGTATATAACAAAACTAGACGATAATAATATACGTGATTCTGTAAGCGAAAGAAAGTAACTATTTACATTTTGTTTGACACACTTTCATTAAGCCGTTACTGTTACGTGTCGTCAGCGCTTCGAATGCTACATATTTCCGTTATATGGGCTCGTGGCGGCAGTCTTAGTTCAGTTTTCCGCAAGATTGGACATAATTTTCAAAGAATTTTTAATATGAGTGATACCGACGTTGTGATTGTGTCAGCAGTGAGGACACCCATAGGTATAAACTTGCATTTAACAATCATAAATTGTTTTAACAATCGAAAATACCTGCATTCGTTCTATATACTTAATAATCCAGTTTAAAGAATATCATGTAAACAGTAAAATTTTCAATTTACGATCAGTCGTGTATCGAGTACATTGACACTGTCATGCATTAAAAGGAAGTTAAAGTAATATATTTTACCTCCATTCCCATTGTAGTCTAACAAAGTAATAATTTGTTGATTTTGCAATAAATCTACCCATAGTCTTCAACATCACATGCTAGACTGTTAATGATACTTTTGCTTATTTAATTAATTTTCATTTAAAAGAAGAACATTCTATTTTTTTATCATAAGTCCGATATACTACTAGAAATATTTTTTTTTTTGAAGTATCACATGAAAATCAACTTGATAGAAGTTTGATAACAATTAAACTTTTGCACTTTATGTCAATTACATTACAATATATTTCATTTTTTGTAGGATCACTTTGTGGATCTTTGTCGTCATTAAAAGCATCAGAGTTAGGTACTATTGTTATTAAAGAGAGCCTTGCAAGAGCTTGTCTTGACCCTACAGATGTTTCTGAAGTTATAGTTGGACAGGTAATTTAAAATCATGACTTAGTACCATGATTGACAGCTTGCTTAGATGATTAAATGTTATCTGGAAATAAATTATATACGATCAGCTTTTTTTGTACATATCATAGAGTAACAATACTTGCACACGACTGTGCAGATAACATTCATGAATAATCTATATTATGTTAACTAGTTTGTACAAGTACTGCTAATCTAAACTTAAGGTAATGTTCATAATACATTATATTGAAGGTATTAACTGCTGGTCAAGGACAAAATCCAGCAAGACAGGCAGCAATAAATGCAGGCATTCCTATAGCTACTCCATCATATGTAATTAATATGCTATGCGGTTCTGGTTTAAAGTAAATATGAAATTCAATACCTGTAGAATATGATATCTTGGAAAACAACATTGAATTTTTAATGTATCTTTATCTATGCACTCCTTATAAATTAAGATTGGTCTATATAGATGTAGAATAATACAATTTTTCCAATCTATTTAATATTTAAACAAACTTAATTTTTTAGAGCAGTTATGAATGGTTACATATCTATAAAAGCTAAGGAATGCCAAATTGTTGTAGCTGTTGGTCAGGAAAGCATGAGTCTTGCACCACATGCCTTACACCTTAGAAATGGTACAAAACTAGGAGACACTAGTTTTACGGATACATTAATATTTGATGGCTTGACAGATGCATTCCATGGAATTCATATGGGTCTAACTGGTACACAAATATTAGTAATTAAAATGCATTTTTTCTTTAATGAATTCTTCAATTATGCTGAAACTGTAATTAAATGCAAATTTATAAACCAATATATATTTATCTGTGTAATATATTTTTTGTAGCTGAAAATATTTCTAAAGACTTTAATATAAGTAGAGAAGAACAAGATGAATTTGCAGCTAAATCTCAGCAAAAAGTAGAAGCTGCAATTAATCAAGGCTATTTTAAGAAAGAAATTATTCCTATAACAGTGCCTACTAAAAAAGATACTATTATTGTGGATAAGGATGAGTTTCCCAAGTTTGGGACAACAATTCAAAATCTTCAAAAATTGAAACCAATATTTTTGAAAGTATGGATAATGCTATTTTTTATAAATAAAAATATTCAATTGTAAAGTGATTATTTGAATGATTATTTAATATTTAGAATAATGGTACAGTGACTGCTGGTAATGCATCTGGAACAAATGATGGAGCAGCAGCAGTAGTTCTTATGTCAGCAAAAACTGCTACTGAAAAAGGACTCTCTCCAATGGCTAAAATTGTGGCAATGGCACAAGCTGGAGTAGAACCACGTATTATGGGCGCGAGTCCCATTCCGACAGTGGAATTAGTCGTTAGTATATGTTACATCCTAGCACAGTATGACAATAAAATAAATGTGAATAAATGTTTCAGTTGAAAAAAGCAGGATGGACCAAAGAAGAAGTAGATTTATATGAATTGAATGAAGCATTTGCAGCACAATCGGTAGCATGTGTGAAGACACTTGGTTTAAATCCTGATAAAGTTAATATAAATGGAGGAGCTATTGCTTTAGGTCATCCAATTGGCGCATCTGGTAATTAAAATATTATTGTAAATATATTAATTTTGTTGCTATATTTATATTTTTCATGCCATAGGTAATAGAGTTTTAGTAACTTTACTTCATTCCTTGGAAAGAACTGGTGGAAAGAAAGGTGTTGCAGCTTTATGTATTGGTGGTGGAATGGGAATTGCAATTGCTGTTGAAAGAAAATAACAAACACTTCAACTAATTAAACTCATTTATACTATGAAAATTAAATTTTGTTGGCAGTTGTGCACATGTAACAGTATGTGGTGCATCAACCACACATGCCTTTCATTATATTTTCTAACTAAGGTAAAAATAATTTTGAATCAAGAATTTGTTGAATTATTAGACATTTATATATTATTGTAACAAAGGTCAATAATTACTGTTATGAAATATATATAAAGGTGTAGTTGTGTATTAATAATATATGTGTAATTAAAATATCTCTCTTAAAATAAATCTGTTTTAATTTTATTGATTTACATATTTATTTTAAACAGTATATTTGACAATTGCACTTACAATTTATATAAAGTATTTGCTGTTACATTAAATTTGTATCGAATTTTATGCAATGTATGTCTATATGAAGTTATTTTTATACATCGAAAATATACATGTAAATAAACGCATTATAAAAAGACGAATAATTTGTTAGTTCATTTTTAATCCCTTTCACTATCGTTGGAAATTTATTTTGCCTTCTTTTTATCTTCCAAAATCTTCTCTACCATCGCACGCCCTTCTTGTTGTCTTTGCTCCGAACGTTTCATTTTAAAAGTTCGTTTATCATCTTTTACTATCTTCTTTTGGTTGTACAAATGTCGTAACTGTTCCTTTATAGCTGGTATAATACGTATCTTAAATTAAGAGTACATTATATAAACATATAAAGTACACATATAATAGCACATCAATAAACAATCTTTATATCTCAAAGAAATTTAAGAGCTTAAAATATTGATATACTGAGCGGTACAGCAGGATAATATCCATCATAATTCTTTCCATCTTTACTAAAACATGGATAAGATTCCCCTAATGGCTGTTGAGTTATTAAATCTATCTCAGGTATGCAAAGTTTTGCATACTTTTTTATAGTAAACCCCCATAACGAATCCACATTAACTTTAGAATCTTTTAAACAGAAATAAGAACCCCAAAATGTTGAATTTAATATTTTTTCATCTGGATGTGATAATCTTTGATGAACCATTCCTTCAGACATTTGTTCCTCTATTACAGCCACTGTATCACATTCTACACGTGCATTTGGTACATAAATATCTTGTACAAGATTATCACCAATATATATACAACGAGGATTACTCTTTTTTGATAGACATCCAAGAAATTTAACAAGTCCTTTCCAATTACCCTGGCTATATATCCCACCCCGTTTCAAATCTTTACTTTCTACCACATCACCCTCTTGATAATTTGTCAGTTCAAGAAATGGACGTTCATCTGTAAAAAAGCCAGGCTTTCTTGCATAACAAATAATAATATCAAATAAAGATTTCCAGTCTTCTCCAAGAGCATAGGTAGCAGTAAAATCAACAAAATCAATATTTGATCCAGTAATAAGGAAAGTAACACGTTGTTTCTTTAGCTCTTGAATCCAAGATATAGTTTCTAAACTGCATTTACGTAAATATTTAACAGGATCTTTTGTTAAGCCATGAAAGAAGCACCCTTTATCTAGTTTAAAATGATCCTTGTTGTACATTTCAATTAATCCATCTAACATATCAGGCCAAACGTTATAGACATCCAAGGGTCCACCTTGTTCTTCATCAAGAGTGTCTATTAATTTTGCAAAAACAAGAGATGATGACATGTCAAAGTAGTCTAACGAACTTCTCATTTTCATAGATACTGGACCATTCCATGTTGACAACATATCATTGCAAAAGGCATCTGTAGCCTCCCATTTTTGATCACAATATATTTCTTTAATTTCTTCCACACTTAATAAACTAGTTCCATGACAAGCTCTGTGAATTATTCCATCTGCACTTATTCTAAGTATATTTCCTCTTTCAAAGTCAAAGAACAATCCTTTTTGCATGAAATCTAAGTCTTTGTCATTCAATGGCCTTGATAAATATTTTGTACTATATCCTTTTTCTGTTATTAGATAATTAGCTAAAGTTTCATACGTCAAATGTACTAAGTTTGTCACATTATAACGTAAGAGTGTATTGTCTAAGTCAAATCCAACACAATCATAATCAAGAAATTTCAAAGTATTTGTATTTGCTTGCATCGATGGGGCAAACGACATTCTTGTACAATAGTGTTTAACACTTACAGAAGATGTTAAAGAATATGTTAAAATTCTTGATATTTCACAAGTTTTAAAGTTCAAAGTAATCTCTTCCTTTAAACAAGATTTTAGAGACTTACTTAGCAAATGCTGAATTCTTATCATATTTGAAAGAATAAAAAACAAATATGAGTACACATCTTATCTGTAGGCAATCAAACTATAGATAACGTTATTTAAACAACGTTAAAATCAAGGTAAAATTTCGCTTCAAATTGTAGTCAATAATGTACAAGCAACCTAGAAATTCGAAAGTACCTAGACAACGTACGAATGACATTGAGATTTCGTTATTCCCTTCGGACACTTGTTTATACACAATAATTGAACCCTTTATACAAAAATAAGCCCGTTCATAATATTATCAAGTTACTTACTTCTGGTGGTATGTGAACGAAGCGAATATTTCTTGCTTGAACAAACAACAGGTCATAATTGTACGAATCCCCCCTAGGATCGGTGAAGACACAGTTTCTCATTACGATATTCATCTGGCTAAAGCAATAAACGTAAACACTAAACTGCACTATACCGGTAACAAGAATAAAAACACTCAAAATCACTTACGCATCTGCGTGCTCTACTGTTCCGTAAACTGACGCTTCATTTCGAAGGTCAACGGTTGTACGTTCATTTTCAACAGCTTTCAACAAAATTGAAAGACTGTTAAACAAGATATATCTCTCTCCTTTCGACTCCAAATCCATGGTATCATACAGGAGATATAGAATGGACTGAACATCCAACAGATGAATGCATCACACGATTTTGAGCCTCTTACCATTCTGATGTAAAATCCAACGTTATCGATTCAGAATGGAATAAGAATTGCAGCAGTACTTTTAGCGTAATAAAAATTACAATCCTATTACTGGTATAAATTAAAACGAACTATCATTCTATTTCATTTATAAATAAATTCAAGTTTCGACTTATATACAAAACACGCGCGTTCCCAGATGGTAATGAATTGAACTGCCATCTAGCATTGAACGGACTAAACTGATCGGTAAACCTATCCAAGTTGCTAACGAAATAGTTACCATCCGCTTCTTTGGCTACAAACTTGGACGTTTTCCCGCCGAGGGCGCTGATCATCGATTTTAAAATTAATTTGATTTGTTCACCGCCAAATGTCTATTCATTTGATTAAAATGAAATTTGAAATACGAGTTTCTTCCTACTCGATAAATAAATATGCACTTAATAATTAGCAAGTTTTACGCAACTTGTCCAAAGAAATTAGGCTTTTCCCTTCGAGCACAGTATTCGAATCATGATCAAATAAAGATTTTTAAGCTACAAGTAAAAGTCTACTTGATAAGGAAATCGAGGAGGATTTTGTTCACCTATTGAAACATTGTTTTCAAGTTCAAAATAATCATCTTCTCGAGCATTCGTCAAACAACTATTTTAGTAATTGAAAAAAAAAAAGATGAACCCTCGAAGGATGCGGAGCTCCCTTAATCCGTCCCCGATTGAAACATCACCAACCGTTCGATACTAGAGTGCATGTATTCTCTTATTAGCAGAGTGCACGATCCACCGTGATCCCAATATTAGTCTACACGTAGTCGTTGCTCACAGCCATTATTACTGGAGGAATTAGGTTACCTCCCAACGGATATACAAAGGGGCCCTACAGATTGGACCGTATCCTACATACCTTCAAAATAATCTGCTGCGAACGTTTCAAATGTGATCTGTATCTCTGATCAATGCATCAGACCGCGGATCGCTGTCGACGAATTAACGCAAAATTTGCATGCCTGCGGGATGACTTTCGAATGTTGGCCAAGGCTACAAAGAAGATGGTCCCTCGTTAAAGTCATCGTTTAACAAGGGAGCCAAACGAGCGTCGCCCACCTTGTTCCATGTAATCGTAACTCATCTTTCAGGCTGGTAATGACGAGCAAATCGCGATGTTGTCTTTTATTCGACGAAACGAGTCTTCCAAGGGGCACGTGCACGCCTGCACCTACGTACAGTTTACACCCACCGCCCTTTCTCTCGGGCGTACTTTAGCTGGGAAGCGGGAACTCGTTAGCGAGCAACAATTTCTCTCCTTTCTACTTGGGTCAATCATATTTCACGAATGATTGTATCGGTTAAAGATCAATGAAATACGTAGTCCATTAAAAAGTTCTTCTCGATCTCGAACGCGCAAAATTAGCTGACATTTAGGATTCGATTTTACATAAATTATCACGTATTTCAATTTCAAATTTTCATGTTACGTTGGAGAACGTTGGAGTATCTCAGCCAAAGGATACGGTTCGCACGTAAAAGTCCCGGTTAGTACGATCCATGGAAAATAGAGTCGCGAGAGCATCAAATATCTTAAATAAATGAAGAACACCTCGACGTCAATGGTTCCAAAGGGGGCCCAGACGCTAAGGGATGAAGCGCTCGGGTTCTCTGATTCGCAGCAATTGCGGCACCGTGGATCCAATAGACGACGTGTCTATTTCTATGAAACGAACTCGCGCGCGATGCACATTTGTCTCCCTTCTGCTTATTCAGTGCCGTGCGACCCGTTGTGCTGAGTGACCTCTTCCTGTAGCCCGTCGTCTCTTTCGCTCCTCTTTGGAGCTGGTCTCCCTTTTCTCCTTCGGTGGTACCCGTCCCGCCCCCCTCGCGGCCTCTAATCAGCTTCCTGGATGGGGCACATTATCTACGTGATGGCAGATCGTAACTACGCGATACCCAGCCAGGTCTCGATCGTACCGTGGTCACTCGACAGTCCATCGCGAGTAAAAGACCCGCCAGGATCCGCGGTTACGGATGCCACTTTGCTCGTCGCACGATTACGCGGTATCGGTGCAGTGGTCCTGCAACTGTGCGTCTGGCATCGCGGATTCAAGTGTGACCTCCTTCTGGAAATCCTTCTCCGCTCGACGAGGGGAACGTCGCAAGTGTCTCCCTAGTTACGCGACCAAATTGTTTGGAAGGTGATCCTTAATCTTCGGGAGGGAGGAGGAAAACTTGCACGATGAATCGGAGTGTCGTAACTCTCCAAAAGCTCCTTCCAAAGGTTCCCTTTTGGGATAGGAGTAACTTCGTTAAGGATCATCTTCCAAATATTAAAAATAAAGAAATTGGTCACAGCGCTAAAATGAGCGGCGTACCCCTCGCCAGTGTCGACTATCAAACGCACTTTATTCTCGATTTGTAAACGCAGATGTCACAGCGGTGAGGACCGCGGGATGATAGAGAACGTGTCCGCCGCGATCTTCCTCGTGCCCAGAGGGAGGCTCTTCGAGAATTCTTAAAACGACTCGTTAGCGGGACCAGCCACGATGTCGTTGATGCGACGCATATCCGGGGCCGTCGCGGTCCTCAGGGGCACCTTGGAGGTCAAGGAAGCTAACACGTGAGATTGGCCAAACTTTTGTTCGCTTTCGAGCAATCTTCCTCTCTTACCTGGTCCGATTTCCAGGTCATGTTCGGACGAGATCGAGAAGATAGCGTCCGAGGACGAGGTCAAAGCGCGTCCCCATATGACGCCGCTCAACAGATTGCAAGCGGTTCGTAGCAAGAGCTTATTTACACCCGAGCGACGACCTTGATCTCCTTTTCGCTAAAGATTCTCCAAAGATTCTCCTCGATCGTATCTTGACTCTGGAATCTAAACGCAGGTGGTAGACTGGATGGGGGAGAATATGCTTCTGATCTTCACGATCGGTGGCGTTCTCGTGGGCCTCATTCTCGGGTTCCTTGGTCGATTGGCCAGTCCCACGCCACAGTCCATAACACTTATCAGTTTTCCCGGAGAACTCCTTATGCGGCTGCTGAAGATGTTCATATTGCCGCTCATCGCTTCTTCGCTCATATCCGGTGACTATGCGACGTTTCCCGTACATCCTCGCATGGTATCGTTCTATTCCGAGTTCTCTCTCTTTCAGGAATGGCACAGTTGGACGCGAAAAATTCCGGACGAATGGGACTCAGAGCTCTGACGTACTACACCGTAACCACCATCCTGGCCGCCGCCGTTGGCATCGTGATGGTGTTGATGATCCACCCAGGTGATCCTAGGATCAAGTCCACGATAACCGCCCCTAAGACGGAGGACACCAAGGTCTCCACGCTGGACGCTATTATGGATATAATTAGGTATAACGCGAGAGCGGGGGAGTAACGCGAACGACGATCGGTAACGACTATCAATTTTAGAAACATGGTGCCGGAAAACTTGGTCCAGGCGTGCTTCCAGCAAGCGCAAACCACTTACGTAAAGAAGAAAGTGGTAACGATAGGGGGCACGAATCAAAGTGATTACGTCCTAGAGCCGACGTTAATGTATAAGGACGGGACGAACGTGATGGGAATGATTATGTTCTGCATCACGTTCGGTCTTGTCGCGGGACAGATAGGCCCGCGTGGAAAAGTGATGGTCGACTTCTTCGTGGTGCTGAACGAAATAATCATGAAACTCGTCAGTATCGTTGTGATGTGGTGAGCAGATCGAGTCGCAACTTAATTTCACGCTTGGTAGTTCCCATCGCTACGTCCATATACATGTGATTAGACGACGAAATGTGGGCTCGAGTCTTAATGTCACGCAGGTACTCTCCGTTCGGAATCATGTGTCTGATAGCTGGCAAGATAATGTCGATCAACAATCTGGCGGCGACCGCTCAGATGCTGGGTCTGTACATGATGACGGTTATCCTGGGTCTCTTGGTGCACGCTGTGATCACGCTACCGCTGATATTTTGGCTGCTTACCCGACAGAACCCAGCCGTGTTCTTCAGGGGTATGATGCAGGCTGTGGTCACAGCCTTGGGAACGGCGTCGAGGTAGCAATCGATCCCGCAAATACTTTTAAACTCGTTTAGATCGCGCGCTATACGCTCCCCGATGGTTTTTCAGTTCAGCAACTTTACCTATAACGTTCCGTTGCCTCGAAGAAAATAATAAAATCGATTCACGAGTGACTCGATTCGTGGTGTCGGTCGGGGCTACGGTCAATATGGACGGAACAGCTCTTTACGAAGCCGTGGCTGCGATTTTTATCGCCCAGATGAACGGAATCTCGTTAGGAATAGACGAAGTGATAACAGTCAGGTTTGTATGCGCTTAGGTTGGCCCAACGATCGGTTCAAGTTCCATCGTTCATCCGTATGCTTTTTGTCTTTGTAGTTTCACGGCTACCTTGGCCAGTATAGGAGCGGCGAGCATCCCCAGCGCTGCTTTAATCACGATGTTAATAGTGCTCACAGCTTTGGGTTTACCCACGAACGATGTTTCCTTGCTCTTCGCCGTGGACTGGATGTTGTGAGTTTCCGTTGCGGTTACTCGTTTCGAATAGATCTTAATTAATATATTTGCTCGTGCTTTCAGAGATCGAATAAGGACCCCGATAAATGTCCTGGGCGATGGATTCGGAGCTGGAATAGTTTATCACCTGAGCAAAGACGAACTCGAGAAGATGGATCAAGAACGGAAACTAGAGAGTCTTGAAAAGGGGACACCTCTCGAGGACATTCCGGAGAATTGCCAGCACGAGAGTGTTGCACCTGCTCCCGAACAAAGTTCCGAAACGAAGATCTGATTCGCGGGAATACCGATCTTCTTTCGTGCGCTTCTTCCAAATTCTCGAACAACAACGTAAAAGAAAATTGTGATCGCGCGCTACATGAAATTCATCAACTTAAATGATAACGTTCTTGGTAAAATCGCGGCGGTAAAGTGCATGTCAACTACAAAACAATATCGGGATGTATCGTTGACCGTCAGTTCAAGATATAGGAATTAAACGAAAGTTAAATGTAATATGTTCTATTTTTGAATTTAAAGATTTCATTTGTTACGAGATCAATGGAGTATCGCTTGTCGATTTATTTAGTTAAACGAGAAAAGTGCTTGAAGCACTTTAAAGATGTGTTCAGTAATTTGTTACACATTAGATCATTTAACTTTAGGGAAAATGTAGGATTTTATAATATTTTGTTTACAATGTTTGTGTACCGCATGTATGTGAACATAAAAATAAATATAGATCGAAGTATAATTGCTTTGAAAATTTATTTGTTTACAACGTGAACGGGGTACAATAATGAACGAGATCGAGCAGGTGGAACGGTGGAATAGATGTATTTTTCAAAGAGATTTTTCAAATCCTATGTACATACATACATAATACATCGCGTAGTGCTTCTTCAACAATATTTTTACTCTGGCTAGTAACTTGCAATTGCATGTGATATCTTCAATTAATTAACGACATACCTATTTAATTAAAAAATATAAATTCTTAAATCTAAATATCCTTTAGATCAGTAGACGTGTACCATGCCATATAAAAATCTGATTTCACATTGAGGAAAATAGATAAGTACAAATATTATTTAGACTAGTATACTTGGCGCGCGCATAACATTTCGCGTTTTGTAATCAAACGCAAATAATTCATATTAAAAGGATACGTCCAAAACAACACATATGTCTGTAGCATCATTCCATTGGTTTCAATTAAGGAAAAAACTTTCATATTTATAAATAACTAATATTTAATAGAAGCATTTTATCATGACTATATAAAGGATACAAAGAGTCCTCCAAAAAATCCACTCGTCAAAAGATTTCGTCTGCTTATAAAATATTTCTTCCATTGGCCCCCAGCTTTTAATAATAACATTGCCTACAAAAACTATTATTTGATGTTGTCCAAGGAAACTAAATTACCATTGACAATTCTTCTTACCCATAATCCAAATACCGCAAAAATGTAGAAACCAAAACCATATAAACCTGTTAACCCTAACAAACCAGCTGTACCACCAGATAAAGCTGCCATTGATATCCTACAATATTCGACTACAGCAGCATTATTTACAACTGCTGCTTCGCTGTATGCAATAATCTCTAAAAAATGTATATAAATTAAATAATCAATCAAATGACATTTTTTCGTTGATTAAAGACCGAGAAATTATATACACATAACTTTAAGCAATAGTGTTTTCAATAAGTGAAAAACTTGTAGAACATTGAACACATTATTTCTCTCGTAAGTTAAAAAGGAAATTTCTACTACTCTGATACAATAAGGTTGTCTACGATTATTTTGAGTTCTATTAAACAAATACATAACCTATAACAAGAACTACTAACAGTATCGGCGGAACTGTCAGAGACAATAGGTGTAACAAACTAATTCATATTTGACTACTCACCTCCTTTTTCCTGTTTTGTTTTAATTTTCCCCAACATTATTGTACTTTTGTCGCTATTAATGCACAATTTGTATAATTTAACCTAGCAAAACATTCGTTGATGATTACGTACTTATATACAGTGACTGTGTTTTATCGGCTGCTCTTGTCAGACTGTACTATTTAATATAGTGTAGTAGCGCCATCGGTGGGAAACTGCTCAAGTTTGTTCTGAAAATAGTTCTCATTGTTTCTGTAAGATGGCAGCAGCGATACATTCAAATTAATTATTCTATATTTTCATAAAAACATAATTAATACCATTCTTTGCTTCATAACACTACAATATATTAGTTGATATGACAAGTTTATCATTTCGATGATTAATTATTTAATTTAGCACTAAATATCGAAGCTTTAGTTAATGGAGCCATCTGGTAGCGATAGTAGGAATTACTTTCACTACAAACTTGAGCGTTTTGTCACCGATGGCGCCACTTCAAACTGTGCTTTGATTGTGTTGGTGCATCTGAAGTACGTATAGGGTTAGGATTCAGTTTAACACATATAACTTACATGCGACGTAAGCAGACGTAAGTATATAGTGTTGGTTATGGTATCCAATAGCTAAAGAAAATATCCTTTTGCATGACAACTGCCGACCCGTGTAAAAAGTTTGCATGTAAATTGCAGCAGTGTTTAAAAGGTTTGTGTGTTTTAAATGATTTTACTTAATGTAATCGAATTCGCATTTTGTAACCTTCGTTGGTATATTTGAGGTTAAGTTATGTATTGAAAAACTTGTTCATTTTCAGATAATATCTATCAGCCGTCACGCTGCGAATCTGTTATAGAAGAAATAAGACAGTGCTGTATTGTACATAAGAAGGTGTCAACAGTCTGTGAAGGAATAGATATTTCTAAGAAATACGAGCACAATACTGTTGATTATGTAAGTTTTTGGTCATTTCATTTTATTGGTTATTAATCCGTAGACGACTATGTAACTATTTTCTACATAAAATACGCGTGAGGCCTGGTCCTGAACTATTTATTTTATGGCAATTCAATATAACTTGCAAACATGTATAAAGGAATACCTAAAATACCAAACATTAGTCCATCTAAATCAATGAGTTAATAATAAAGTGTCGACACTGGGATCCTTAATAGATCATGTATAGTCGTCTAAAACTTAATTTATCCTGGAAATCCATTCAATGTTATTTCATTATCCTTTGATTTTTCACCAGAAAAACGTGCAATCATAAATCATGTTTACCCAAGACCGTGCAAAGAGGATGAAAATATGGCATGCCATAATGGTAGCTAATGTGGCATACACTTTCTATTTGGCAAAAAGAGTTCCTCCAAAAAAATAATTGATGTTTTGATGTAGCAAGTAATGTATTAATATATAGTAAATACATGTATTAATATGTACTAAATCCATGTTTTTATATATAGTAAATAATGTACCATATCGATATAGTTAAACATGGAAGCAGTGAAAAAGGCAAAGGAACGATTTAGAAAATATCCAATTCTTATTGCTCAGTGTCAGGAATCTGGTGCTAAGTATGCTGTATGTGTATCGACAAAATCTAATTTGCAAAAAAATGATTGCAAAAGTGAGTTTAATGAATTCAAGGCATGCTTAATGAAAGCTGCTTTGAAAAGTAATACGAGGTTGTAGAGAATAGAATTATATCGAGTAGGTTCTCTCTTGTTTTTTACTGCTCTATTGGTGTAGTCTTTTGTAAAAAATACATTTTACATTTAAACAATGGATACGTTATCATTTAAGGGACACTGTTTATCAGCCTTCCTACTTAGAGTAGCTTTAGTAATTTACTCGAATTATCATGATAAAACCTTCAATGTTCCATACACTGATGTGGATTATAAAGTATTTACCGATGCTGCGAGACACATGGTAGAAGGGCAATCGCCATTCGAACGCGATACTTATCGTTATACGCCATTGTTAGCTTTGCTTTTGATGCCAAATATTTTTCTACATCAAAATTTTGGAAAGGTTTTATTTTCTTTTGTTGATATTTTGGTAGCAATCTTGATCAAAAGAATTCTAACGTTCCAAAACTGTAGCGATAAATTGAAATTAATTTGTGCCATGGTATGGCTGTACAATCCTTTCACGATTATAATTTCGACCAGAGGAAATGCAGATTCGATGGCGGTTCTTTTAGTCATGTTGACTTTGGATTCGTTTCAGCGAGATAAATTTATTCTAGCAGGTTTATTGCACGCTGTCTCGATTCATTTTAGATTATACCCTATAGTGTTTAGTCTACCGATGTATTTTTCGCTTAACGAAAGATATAGTTTGATACCGAATAAAAATCAATTAAGGTTTGTACTCAGTTGCGTGGCTTTAGTAGCTCTATTAACTATCGTCAATTATTATTTCTATGGGTATAAGTATCTTTACGAAAGTCTTATTTATCACATGATACGTAAAGACACGAAACATAATTTTTCTGTTTATTTTTACATGCTATATTTATCTGCAAATCATCCACCTAGCTTACTCCAAAAAATGTTCACATTTCTGCCACAGCTAGTGTTGCTTCTGATGTTGTCATACAAATATTCGAGTAAATCTGAATTACCGTTCGCGATGTTCACGCAAGCCATGGTAATGGTCACTTACAATCCAGTATTAACGTCGCAATACTTTTTCTGGTTTTTATCTCTTTTACCATTGTGTCTCCCACATTTTGGATTAAGCGTTAAGAGATCGTTATGTCTGTGTTTTGCTTGGATCTTAAGTCAAGGTCTCTGGCTATCGGCAGCTTATTTGTTAGAATTTCGAGGGATAAATACTTTTACGTTTATTTGGATTTTTAGTTTACTGTTCTTCGTCGTCAATGTGAAAATATTGAACGATATTATTATGTATTACAAACGGTAGATAAAAATTAGTTTATTATTGATAGGGTAGATCTTTATATTTAATCGGTTATATTATTCAAATACGAAATATATCATCCATTCATTGTAATCATTACAAGGAAAAATTACTGAATAAAGCATTTTGAAAAGTACATGGATCTGCATTACATAATATACATAAAATTTGAAAACCACATTGATCCCCGATCCTCTAAGTATCCATACGAGTCGCGAGTCTGGTGGCAGTGGTAGTAATATAAAATAAGCGGTAATGATTCTTAATTTTATTCTTGCAGGAATACAAAATACTTATTTACAGATGGTTTCGTAAAGTAATAGTGGTAGATTCTTAAAAGGAATGTAGATATAGTAATAATAATACAATAATAGTAAATCTTAATGTAGTAATCTAGATCAATTGTGAGCAAGAGCATCCTTTGGATCATGTTCAGAAATATTTCTCGTCGTTTACTTCTAAGCTGCTAATGTTGATGATATTAATTATTATTGGGACATCCATCGTCAAATTATACGAGAATGCTTCTCACAATTTCCTGACGACACCACTCGAACGTATAGTAACTTCTTTTAAAGATAACAAAAAAAATACCACAACGATATCCTTCGGTCGAACGACTCGGATATCGGTAAGGCTCAAAGAAACAGTTCCTCGGTGAATATCCTTGTGTACGATTATTCACGTAACGTGATCGGGTTGAAACATTCGAGAGAAAAGAAAAAAAAAACTTTCAAACGACGTGAGACGAAATGGCCCATAACGATTCACGAACAAACGAAACGTAACGCAAGTACATTTCGTATAACTATAGGTCACCACGGCAGACGATGCAACATATAAAAATAGCATTATTTTCTTTCATTGCTTTTGTTACAGTTTAGTGAACTGTGTGCTATGTGAAATAATCTATTTTATTACCCCCGAGGGTGAATAGAGACGGTCGACCTTATTCCCGAAGTCGACTACTTCCGGTTACGACGAAACTCGTTGACGAGATAACGAGTAACGGAAGAAGCGACGTGTTTTCTAGGCCTTGCAGCGGTTTCGCGCGCGAACGAAGTCCTAAAATAGAGCTAAGGTTCGTTCAGGTGCTGCAAGGTCTGGAAGAGCTTGCCCCGAATGAGTTTACACGTTTATCGGAAAAATCAATCGTCGACACGCCGAAGATCGTCCGAGAATGATCGCGTCGCCTGAACGGAAAGTAGTTGCATCTTCGAGAGGAAAAGAAACACGAAGAGAACACCCTTCCCTCTCAGGGGTCGCTTGGAAATCGAAGTTCCTCTATCCGAAAGCAACCACCTGGAGGATTGCTACAGAGATGGGCAAAATTTGCTCCGAATGAAAGATGAATGAAAAGAAGAGGTACTCGGATAAGTTCATTCGTGATGTAACATTCTATAATTCGAATTCTAATTTTTATTCGTCGAGTAGCAGATAGAGAGTCGTTTGTCTTCTAGCGTCTCTTAATTTTGTCCATCCCTGGATTGTTAGCGTAAAGCGTGCGTTGTTGGCTCGTTAGTTCTCGTACGGGGATAGCACGGATAGAGTCCGCGAGAAGACGCGGCTGCTCGAGTGCGTTTAATGGATTGCAAAAGCGACAACACGATTTATTTACGGGGCTTTGAAACGACGTGCGTTCACGTTTTCGAAAACGAATGCACCGCCTCGCCGCGGCCGAATTATTTATTTCTTCTTTTTATACCTCGATTCTTTTTTGGTTCGTTACAAGAACCTTACTTAGAAATAAAATAAGTCTGGCACAATGCAGAGCCTCCTTGAGGGCCGCAAATTGAATACTTTGTCGTCGTGCAACTGAAAAATTAAAGGAGGAATCGAAAGGGATGTATCGGCGTTAGGGTTGATGTGTGAAGTAAAAAAAGTTTTAGTGGAAATTCTGTGGTGCGAACTTGCAAGACATTCAACGAAGAATGAATACCACGGTCTGTTACTTTCGCGACACTTCATATGGAACACTTTGTAGATGAGAGACATGATCGCTTCACATGCATGGATTAAAAGGAGAAGGGGGTGAGAACGTGAGACGATGGGAGCTATTATATGGCAAAGATTTAATAAAATATGATAACAGCGGTGATATACATTACACTGTACGAGAGATATAAAATAAACGGCACTGGCTGCTTAATAATTAGCACGTAAACCAATTAACTATAAATAATAATAGTAATAATCGTTAATATTATAATGATGCTTGATGGATGATTAATCGAGTAAACGAAATGTACACCTTAATTATAAAAGATTCCGTCGATCGATCGCGATGATTACGCAACAGAAACTTATTTAAAAGAAAAAACGTATGTCGTATATGTATATATATATATATATATATTTTTATAATAATAATAATGATAATCGTTTGTTTTTTGTTTTTAAATGATGGAAAGATAATTAAAGCACTCGATGTAATGCATGGATAAATGCATCGACTTATACGACATAAACTCAATTAATATACACAACATTAAAATAAACATCTCTTTGGTCTCGTCGTTTCGTTTCTTTTTTCTTGCTGTTCGTTTCCGTTTCAAGAATGACAGAAAAGGAACGCGTCTCGTCTCGTAAAATTCATTCTCTCGGGCGTTGGAGAAAAGTCGATTAATAAAAAAAAAAAAAAAAAAAAAAGAAAAAAGAAAAGAAAGAGAAAGTTGGAAACGCAACAAAATTCGATGAGAGAGGGCGAAGGGTGGGGTCAGAGGGTGGACAGAAGCGAAAAAACGAGAAAGCAGACTTTATCGCGCGAGCACGGTACACGTGACGTTGATAAGGGCACGCGTTAATAACTGTCGACTGTCGCGACTCGAGAAATATTGAAAACTTGAAAGCGATGCGTCACGATGTTTCTTTTTTTTTTTTTTTCTTTGTCTTCGTTTTGTACTTACATTCTTATCGATATTACAATTAAGGAAATTCGCGGCTATCCGTTGAATTCGTTCTACTATTATGTTCGTAAATCTATTTTTAACGTAATTTTCACAGCGAGTAAAAAGCTTTTTCTCCCGTTCATTTCCACCAAGTTGGATAGCCGCGAGCCTGTTTAATGTTATCACCCACGAGTTGCGGTGATAGGAAATTTTTAGCGATGGGAACGATGTCGAAACGATACCGTAGATATCGGCCAGTATAATTTATAATCTGATGTCGAACTGTATCCAACATGTAGATATCGAACGGAATTGATGTTTGATACTTTCGGTATAGATATCCAAAAAAGTACCGTTAAAATGATTAATCGTGGTATCAAGTTTATTACTAAGAAATATTCTCCAACTTAAGTTTCTTTTATTTCTGTAGATCGTTGACAGCGTTTTGAGAGACACAGAAATACTTGGTGCAACGATATCGAATCAGGATCGGCTCCCCATCGTTAAAATTAACTCGCTTATGGTTGCGTTGCAACGTGTTCGAAGCCCCGATCAATTCGAAGTCGTCGAAGGGAATGAAAAAATGCGATAGACGATAAAAGGGAATTGTTGGCACACTATCGATATCGAAGGGTGGATTTTGCGTTGCGTTCGATTCTCAACACACACACACACACTCTCTCTCTATCTGTCTTTTTCTTCTAAATTCGATTCGCTAAGGGAAGATCTTGTGCGAACGAGATGCGTGTTTTTTTTTGTCGCGGTCGTTGCTACCGCGCCTAACCGATCTTTAACGCTACAGGTACATGCGAGGAATCAGGGATCGAATCGCAACCGAACCGCACGGTAGTCGTAATCTTAAACGAATTATCATTTATTTTACGTTTCGATTCGTCGTCCTAGAAATGTTGCATCTAGATTGAAACTGTACCACGTCTCTGACCAACGATGGATGCAGAAAGAGTATCGTTTTCGACAAATTGACACGTTTCACGTTGAAACAGAAGAAAAGGGCGGGCAGTCGGGGTGTTTGTTACGTTTCCTTTTGCGCAACGAGATTCTTCGCGCTCGAGTATCAAGATCAATTTTGAATGCAACATCCCAATTTTCGTATCGATTGAATTTTGTCGGGCAGCACGAAAGAAAGGTTCGATCCTCAACGAAAAAATCCCCCGAAACACAACGACTCATCTTCTTCCCTTTGCTTTTCGCACGGAGATCTCGAAAGTGTCTAGCTAAACGATTCGTAGGCTATGATACAAAGTAATGTACACTAAAAAGGATGATTCGCTGTTCATAGTCAAATCTCTAGAGTGAAATATTTACACGGGTTCCGTATTCTCCCCTTTTGCTACGCGAACTCTATAAAATCCGTGTGCTTTCGTCGCTTTGGTCGAAAGACCGTCGATCAAACGATTCGCTGGCGAGATCAACGAGCCGAGTATCGATCGCGTTGGCCGACCGATAGTTTCCTATAAACGGTCGTTAAATTTCATCGAAGTAATTTTTTGTCAACCAAAGTCGAGTACGGTTGAAATAGGAAGCTTCGATAATGGCGATCAGTTCGATATCGTACAATTCCAACTGGCAGTCGATTCCCACGACGATTTACAGTCTTTTTATTGAATTCCAAGAAATAATTTCTTCTTCGAATGACGAAATGAAACTCGTGGAATGTAGGGGTTCAGATGGATCGTTATTCCAATGGTGGAAAGAAGTTCGCGAAGACGCCTAGAAACGTCGTGGCTTCCGTTAACTGTTCCCAAGAGAATCGGATGAACTCGCGGCGCGAATTATCGAGGTTATTAGATTACTACGCACGGTGTACGTTCGAGAGTTTCTGTAAAAACGTAGCAGTGTTTTACCTTCGACAGCTTCTTAGAATTGCGGGATTAATAGAAAAAAAAAAAAAAAACGTCGTTTAGTTTAAATTTCGATTGGAGCGTGTGGTCGTTGCGAAACGGAAGGTGCTCGCTGTCGTTTCGCAACGACCATTCGGTTGCTTCCGCCCTCGCGATACTCGCGCAACAATGATCGCAACCCACGGATCCTCCCCTGCTATCGTGGCGACACGATAGGTCGAAAATTTGTTGTTTCTTTTTTTTTTTTTTTTAAGAAATCGCAACGATTCGCTCGTATTCCATCTCGCAGGCAATTACACGCCGTTACGCGCTCTGAGAAAAAAGCTTAACATCGAGAAAAATATGGGGGTATATATTATATATGTATATATATATATATTATATATATATATGTATATATCTCCTACATATCGCTCAGTCGAGTTCGAAATAGTTTTTATACTCTGTATCGATGCGACCTGCTTTAACGCGATTTCACGATAGCGCGCGAAACAGTGTGTCCAATCACCTAAAAAGTCACTTTCCGTTTCACAATTTTGGGAATTGGGGGTGGGGGGGTTGGGAGGGGGGTGGCGACTCGATCGTTTTTCATGCCCGCGTTATCGGATTCGCACCGGTGTGATTTTTCACGTTCTCTTCGGCGATCGGGTAGGTTTATTATTATTATTCCTTTTTTTTTTCCCCCGTTTTTTTTTTTTCGTTGCCTCTTTTCTTTCGCACACGTTTTACGATCGAACACGAGCGTCGAAGCGTTATTTACACGGCGTACAGTTCTATGGCACGTCCCATCGAATCGAAACTGAAGTCTCGTCCTTTACCCTTCGTCCCTCGAACGGGAATATCCTCACCCCGATTAAATCACGAAACGTGCTCGAACGCGAATAGATGGGGGGAAAAAAACGATCGAGTCGATAAACTTTGCGAAATAGTTAGTAATAGGCCATAATTCCTAGTCGTAAAGTATGAAATGTATCAACAAATTTGAAAAACTTCCCTCGCTCATCCGATTAGGCAATATTTTCTTCCTCGTCTCTTAACCCTCGTTTCGCGTGCAGTTACGGAACGTCCGATCACGGATCGTTCGCTTAGAGAACTCGTTTAGATTAGGGCTGGGACGATTTGAATCGTTTCGTATTTAACTATCTTTCTCGGTATTCGGATACTACGAATCAATTTTGGACAGCACTAATCGAATATCGTTTCCCGAACATTATTATTTTAACGATTGAACGCAAGGCTGATCCTTCTAAGCTGTGGAATTTAAACGTGGACAGGTTTCGTTCCACGGCGCTTTTGAATATACGAACGGAGAGAAACTCGACTAATCCCAGCCCCAGCGATTTAGATTGCCTAATAATTTCGCGTTTTTACGACACAGCGCGACCAGAGCCGTGCGCCGCGTTTCCTCGTCGAGCCGTCGGGCGCGAGTCGCGCGTGATAAACTTTCAATGAAAACAACGATCTCGGGAATTGCACGAAAGGAAATGATTGCACTATAGAAAAATAAACTATTCGAAGATATTACATTATGTATACTTCCTCCCGGCGAGCTTCCTTGGACAAGACGAAGAGAAGCGTCGCGCGGAAGCTCGACGTCGCTCGAGGAGGGAACGCCCGGCGTCGGCTCCCGTTCCTTTCCTTGACTAAAGGCGAAGAAATCGATATAATTTAATTAATAATTGACAGATAACCAATTAATATGTATAGAATGGCCCCGCGGCAAGAAGGCGTAAATTCCTAAGATTCAAACGACATAAACTTTTCTAATTTTAACATCGCCGCGGACCATCCGGTACATTGATTGTAATTACTTCCCGCAGAATACTTCGTTAACCTACATCTTTATAATAGAAATCATGTGTCTGTACGTAGAAGATCTCTGTCGGCATGACCTGGCGCCGCTCGTGAACGTTGCGTCCACGCGTAACCGTTTCCTCGATTACGACTCCAGGTGAACAGGAGTATGTGTACCACTCGTAGCCAAGAAGAATCTTTCTGAGAGGTACGAGCACTTCAAATAATTTCGTCCATTTTTACGAAGCCTCTGGTAACGTTTTCAAAAGGAGGCACGATATAAAATAAACAACTACATGATGAATAATATGATTCGCCCATGTGTGCTATGTATACATGTGAAACAATGCAATGACCTTTGCCAATTTATTTTACACTGTACACCATTGGTAATCGCGTTTAAATTCCAAGGGTTAATAAACGGAGACCTCCGGATAGTGCGGACAGAATCATTTGAACCAAGTGTACCGCTCAAAGGCATTTCTCTCGGCTCCCGATGTTTTATGTGTATGTGTGTTCGTATCTCCCCTTTCTCGAATCTGTACAGTTCGGAATTCCACCAAGCAAATTACACATTTACATGTTACATGTATGGGAGCGTGTGCGTGTCCGCGCGCGTAACGCGAAAATCGAACTCGCGCCGGTGGCGCGCGCGCCCACGCGCACTAACAGTATTGTTTGCGCGATTCGGACGAAAGTCTGGAAAATCTTTCTCACTCTCTCGCCTTTAAATAGTTAACATCAGCATGAACATTGTACAGGAGTGATTGATGTACAATAAGCCGGACTTCACGGCGGACAGTTCCCGTGATTTTGAACGGGGGTTCCCGTTCAGAGACGAGCAGAATTTTCGTATTACGAACGACGAATAAAATGGAATATTCCCAGAGTTGGCCGGTGATCGGTTTTGTAGCGATCGCTTAGATACGTCGGATCAATCGACAATCATAAATTATATTCGTAATTTGAAATCATGAATCGGTAATTGGTAACCTTCCAGACCTAATTGAGTTTGATTATACGTTAATCATTAATCACGATCCCTGACAACTCGATAATCGCATTGATTAATTGCATTTTGCCCAACGCTGATAGACACACGGTTGTGCCTGACATCGTTTTATGTATTTCGTACACGTGTATGTATTCAGACATTCTTTACTACAGTTTTTCTTTAAAAAAAAAAAAGTCCTTCATCTCTAGAAGAAAATTTCGCTCATCTCCGATTACGTCGTCGAGACTGGTCGACGTCCGTCGAGGCAACGCTGAATCGAACGATGCGTAAAGTCGAAGACGATTTCCAGAACGATAACACTACGATGTATAATCCATCGTTCGAGTCAGTCCACGTTCTCCTCGACGCGACGTTCCGATCGCGAGCAAAGGAACTGATCGTTTCTAAACGATCGAACCGCGCGCGTGCGCGGTAGATCGCGGAATGTGAGAACGAGTCCTCAATAGGAAGGAAGTATCGTTACGAATACTGATTTTTTCTTTTTCGATCTTCGACGACCGATGGAACCCTCCGCCCTTGCGAGGGGAACTGTCCGCCTCGATGTTCCTGGCGTATAGTCGGATATGCACAATAGTGTTTTTTGTTCTTTTTTTCTCTCTTCACAGTTATAAAACTAACTAAATCTTACGAGATACGGTGAGCAATAATTCCAGTTATGTACAGAAATTATGTTACAGACGTCACAATATAAAGATATCATCTGACAATACAAACGTAGATTCGTTCACCTGGCAAATCGAACGTTCCCGTTCGATGCCATTCGTCGCCACTGACACGTTCGCTCGAGCTTTTCACATTTTCATCGACGTTTCCGCTGATCACCGACGCGAGTATGAGGGGCCAGTCCGTGCTGTGCAGCCTTCTCCTTCGGAATCATTTTTAATAATTGATAGGCTACCCTGTTTCGTTATCGTAATCAATGGTATTTTAACCTCGCTGTACACCGTCGCGATGTGTCGTTTTCGTTTTCTCTTTGTCGCGCCCATTTGAACCTCGCGATCGTTCCCACAGGCCATCGACGAGGAAACGTCGCGTCCCTCGTCCATGGTCTACGGAGACGTCGCAAACGAACGGAAAAAACGAACCGACATATAAATATACTTCCGAGGAGAATCCAGAATAATTTAATTAACGAGCGTAATCAAGCGGAGACCTCGCGACACTTCTTTCCTCTAACAAAGTCGCGCTCGCTCGGTTCTTACCTCTTCGATACGAGACGCGCGCGACGACTTTCATCTAAGACGTCGCATCCCTCCCCTTCGATAGTTCATTTTTTTAGTTTTCATTTAGTAATATCGTTATGTATTATTTACAGGAAGCCGTTCCACTCGCGAACGAGCTTATTTCAATAGAGTTTTGCTCTCGTAGCGCCACCAAACTATAGGCCCTATGTTCATATTGACAACAGGTGTATGATATATATACATATACGTACACATATACACACACACACATATATATACACGTGGTGCAGTGGGAATCGTAGCATCATCGAAGATGACGCGATTGGTCGCGCAAAAATAAATCGAAAATTCTCTGTTTATCGTTCCACGAGGAACCATCCCCTTGAAACACGATTTCCGAGGCACCCAGTATACACACATATACGCATATGTAAATATACATATATCTATATACATATGTATGTATACCTAATCATTTTAGCTATCTATTTTACAATGTTCGGCCTGGGTCGAACGCGTCGCTCGCGATTACAAACGCGCGTTCGCTCGTAACCGGATTCACAGGCCGGAGGGGACGCTGGATCGCGACAGGTCTCGTCGAGCGAGTCCCTGGGATCCAGCGGAATGCCCCTTAGTTCTCGTTTTAGTGCGCTTGCGCGCGATTACCGCGCGAGATCTATTAACTTTTTGTTTTCCCTACAAATAAAAAAAGGCAGCGCGCACACAGTGACGTCGTAGTAGCAGCTGAGACGTTGCCCGGTCTGGCTCCGTCTGCATATCACATATTCGAAAAAGCGTGAGACACCCGCCACTTGTCTTTTTCATCGTCACCGCAGCACCGTCCACCGGTGTCCGATCCGTACGATCGCGACACTAGCGCGCGCCTCTTTCTTAAGCAGACTGCTACTACGACCACGGCGATCCGCGACGGGATTCGTATTCCCGCGTGTTCTCGTTACACCGAACGTACGTTAAATGCTTATCGAGATCTAAATTATGCGAATAAAAAGATTGTCGATACCGAGTGGTCTGTTCTCGTTCCGAAGAGCTCCTTCGATCTGCGAACCTAACCACCGTCCTTCGTTCCCCCGCGAACCTTCGAACACTACCTTTCGATCCACGTCGGTCGTTTGTCACGCCGAGTCGATTCATCGGTTTCCATCGCGCTGTTGACGAGCGTGTTGCATTGACTTTCATGATGACGCCATTTCCTCCTGTTAAGCCCCAGACGGGGAGAAAAAATACTGTCCTCGGGAGTCGATGAAGCAACGAGAAAATCTTGTTACTCCCGTTCGGTTTTCTTAAATGGAATTCCTCGCTGTTCTCTCGGATGAACTCGACCGGTAACTGTTGCTGCTTGGCTCGATATCCATTCCTGCGCGTACCATTCCTAGAAGTCAGTCAGGAGTTACGAGTCCTCGTCAAATCACTGACCGATCTTCCTTAACGGACAGCTGACAAGTGCGACGAGCGTGTTTCTTTTTTTGCGAGTCGATGCTCGAGACGTCTACCTTGTGCGTCGGGGTCGGGGCTCGGCCGTGGAGGCGCAGCTTCATTGAATAACCGCTGTGTCAATTCCTTCGTACGCGGGGACGTATCGTAAACCCTGTCGGCTCGTCGTGCTCGTTTGATCGCGGCTGTCGACCATGGTCTCCAGAACGTCGACACTCGTCGCGTAGGTCTTCCTCTTCGCCAACAGTTTCGTCGCAACGTCCAAATCGGAGTACTGGGCGAATTCCCGTGGTTTCTCCGTCGTTCGAAATCTTCGCATTCTGGATGTCGTTCTCGGTGTCCGCCAGGAATCGAGTTGGTCTTCGGCAATGCTTTGCGCGTAGGAAGTCGGGAAGCTCCAGGAATGGGGGTCCGTCGACGACGACTGGAGAACCGGTTGCGCCGCGTCGACTCGATGACGCTGCTCCACCAGCTGTCGGTGGTCCCTACTGGCTCTTCGCAGCTGACGAAGCACCAGCTCGATGTACTTGAGCGTTTCACCGTTCTCCGTCGTTCGTTGCGCTCGTCCCTTGGCTCGAAGCTTCTTTCCGTCGATCTCGCTTGTCAGTCTCGATTCCTCTAGCAAACGTTCGACCTCTGGCGCGCGAGCGATCGTTAATTCTCGTCGTGTGGCGTGACGATGCTCCAAATCGACGCCCTGTCGATTTCCATAGCGACTGCTCCTCCCCAGCGTGTCCACGAAGAACGTCTCGCGTGGTCTCGGCGTGTTCGAGCTCGAACCCGAGCGGTGAGCCTCCTCGAGGGCTCTGCGATGTCCGAAGGCGGTGCTAATTAGGCCCGAACGTCGACGGTTCTAGTTCGGATAGACCCCCTGGCCTCATACGTGCGTCGCTAACGTCCCGACCGCCGACGTGCGTTTCACCGTCGCGACGCCACCGTTCGGTCCTCCCGTGATGTAATGCGCTGACAGGGGTGCCTGGAAATCACAAAGGCAACGTGAATTTAACCGTGGCGGCAGCGCGCGAGAGAACGTCGCAGGCAAACCTGGTTAACTTGTAAGGGAACTGGAGGTTAATATGGGGCATAGTTAAGTTTATTTTCCAAAACAAACAAAAAAGAGGTAACTACCAAGATTTTTATTTACATATTATGAACAACTGTCATGCGTTGAAACTTTATGTACCTTTCCATGCAATTTTATTCGCACTCACAGCTGTAGCGAGAAGAAATATGGTAGCATGTGAGAGTGGTCATATGTCCCACGTAGTGGGATAATATGGGCACCTATGTGGGGAATATGAGCAGCATGAATTCAATTGTATTTCAAGAGTATCAAATATATATAGTTTCAATGAATAACGCACCGTAGAATACAATTGCTCGTCGATAAATAAAGAAATGAAGAAGTTAATGGCTGTACGAGCGATATAGAGATGCGCTAAAATTGATGGCGAACATTTCGAGTACGTATAGTATTCATCGGAATAAGCAAATAAAGTGTCGGTAAACTGTTCGCATCCAGAATCCGATAGTTCCCGAGTTACAAGGCATGCATGGCAAGGTAATTATTTCGAGTGTCCTCTTTGGTTGCAATTACTATGCCAGTTTCTCTCGTTGAGAAATACGGAACTAACATGCATCGAAATTGGGGAAAACGGTTGAAACGCATGCTGTCGTTAAATAAAATTTACTCTTGTAGCTGAGAAAATAGCGGTTTCTAGAATTATGTCTGCCAGTACCTTTTTACTTATTTTTATGAATACTGTGTATACTCGAAAGTTTCGATCGTCAATTTCGGAGTTTCAATCGTGTTATCGATGTACACAGATCCTATAGCCATTAATTTCTTAATCTTCACTATTATTACTTATTTACTATCAATCCCTTGCACCGTGAATATCGCTCAAGAGTTCTCTTTATAGCGCCGATACGTTCGTTGTACCACAAAGATCGGATATTTGTTCTGGGTACTATTAAAGAACCGCAGAGAATATACAGAGCATACCAGGCATACATCTTACCGATCCCATATGTATAGCACATGAACACAGACACGCTACAAGCGTACACATTCGAAAGATCCGTTCATTTAAAGTATAAGTGTGAAAGACATGGATGTTCGTATTGCCTCGAATTCCGTTAATAACGTCGCTATCCGCGATGCTGTTTCCTTTTATCGAGTGGTCGTCCTCTTGAAGCGAGTAAACAGATAAATAAAAGGATAAGATCTGCGTCCAAAGTACGGAAAAAAACATCGACAGAAGGATGTCAATGAAAAGGGTGTGCTCGCGCAATACATCGAGAACATACTCCACCAAAAGCAAGGACACATCGATCAGTCACCAGAACACGGTTAACAAGGGTACATCAAAGAGGCTCTCGTCAACCGTCGAACGCAACACTACGCAGTCAATCACCGCAGACATTCGCTCTCACGCTTACCCTGTTTAACGATAAATGTGCTCGTACTGGTAAACGCGGTTAACATTCATCCTCTACAGTTAGTCACGCGATATATTACTTTTATAAAGTAATTTTCGCAAAAACGACAGTTTCAGCGTTACATACTCGATTCGAAAGTACGGACGATCGACGATCGCGTACGTAGGATTATCGCAACTATTAAGGACAGCCTCGGATAGCCAATTCAGATTACGTTATGATTTGTCAGTGCTTCCGAGAATAGATTACAGTATTTACAGTCGTTATAAAAGCATTATCCTCTCGCGTTATCGTCCCCTCCCGCGGCTTAAGTATTTCGATCGAACGATAAAGTGACGTTAAACGAAACGCTCGTATCGGGGGAACGATTTAACCAGGCTCGATTAGATCAACTCCTCGGTACGACTATCTCCAACGGCGTCTTATCGAAACTAGTTCAGGTGAGCGTAGAAATGTACGGCGAGATGTCGAAACTGCGTCTCGGAATTTGACACACATTCGCTGTCATTGTACTAACCTGCGGTCCAGCGCCGTTCAAGGTATTCAAGCTATTCATTCTCATTGCTTGCGTGTAGGGTGGTGGTGCTGGCGTTACTCCCGGCACCGCCGCGTGCGGCGCGTGTCTCAGCTGCTCCGCCGCTGACATTCTATTGTTCCAAAGGAAAAGTAAACGATCAGAAGGTGATCCATTTGTAAAGGTAAACGTTAGAACGTTGGCTGGCCAGCTGGCCGATCGTCGGTGAAATTAATATTAAAACCTGCCCGCGCCCGTTGCCAATCGACGTCATAAATATTCACTCTCACGATGCATAATTTACGCGGAATATGATTAATCCCTAGGAACGATTGCACAGAGGCACGTTAAATCCGTTGATCAATACGCCGTAAATATTGGACATGTTAATGACCGATGTTTTACAATGTACTGGACGGCGTACAGGCGAACGTGACGATAATCGACGCAGCGAGAAAAATGTAAGACTATATCGCGCTTGAAATGTTTTATATTTGGGTTATATGGATATCCTTCAAACTTCTATTCGATTAACGAACTCGAGAGACGTGTTTTATTTGGTCTCGTTCGCGAAAATGATCTGCATACGCGGAATAAGAAGGAAATATTTGTGTTTCCTCTTTCGAACCGCGACTTTTAATTAATGAAATTATTCATAGATTCATAAGGTTTGAAAATATGTTTGACCCAGTCATCGACGCTTCGTATGTATATAAAACGAGGTGTTCCAGTTATCGACATAGGAGCGAACCAGAGTTCGACGCTGATAAATATGCCAGATGTCGTATCACTTTTTCATTTTTGATTACTTTGACACATCGGACCTAGATATTCGATAAATATTAATAGATCTCCCTCAATTCTTCCCAGTGTGTTTTATTAGAAAGTGGCGGGTCGTGAAACTGGTTTTCCTCAAAAAAAAAAAAAAAAACAGGAAAACCTGAAATATATCGTGATCCGTGGATAATCCGAAAAGCGCGGACTTTGAAATAAACGAGATAATTTCGAAAGTATATTCATAATATTTAACGAACTCATTCGAATCGGTGATCGACAATCTTAATAACGTTAATTTAAAAATGATCGAAACGACTCTAGTAAAAAATGGAAATATAGAGCAAACAAAAATTAAGATTATTTTTTTACCAAGAGTATCAGAGTCTTTTTAAACGTTTTTCGCGACAGACTTGCTATCAATTCACGAAACGGATCGTGTCTCTGCCCGACTATAAACTCAATCGTCTTTGCTGCAGTCCGTGCTTCTCTGTAGGATTACCGAGCGCCGAAACACAATTACAGTTGGTCAAAGGTTCCTCTATTATACCGTGTCGAACTAGATTGCGGACTCGATGACACACAGGCTCTCGACAACCCTCCATTGATGCTCGAGAAAGTAGCGAAACTTTACCTGAGGTAGGGGTTTCCGTACGTCGCGGAGAAACGTGGGTCGATCGCGGGTGTCGTTTGCGACGTCGGAGTGCCCAAATTCGCGGAACTCAGACCGATCTTCTTTGAGGCGAGTATGCCGCCCGATGGTATCCTGCTTAAGGATTCTCGCGACGCTCCCACTCCTTGCGTCGTGGGCGGCATGTAATCGCGGGTGTAGTCGACGTACGGCACGTAACCGTTATTGTTACTGCCGTCCTATAACAGAAATCGAGAAGGAAAATGTTAGCGACAAATGCTGCCAACCCCGAGCCGTTTTTATAAACAGTTCATTCGGGAGCAAATGGAACGAAAAAATTGAATACGCTTCCTGATATTGTTTCGTCTAGCTTCTTCTCTCTCTTTTTACCGAGCAAACTTCCCGTCGCGAATGGACGAAACACGGGAACCGAAATATGCTAACCGCACGGAAGAGAAATTAATTCCTCCGGGGCACGGCACCGCTGTATCGTGTACAATGTAATATTTTACACGCGTCACACGTCAACTTAATCTTGTGTGACTGGCGAATAAAGGGATAACAGTCCCGTACACGAGTTTAGATCAGTTTATTACTTTATTATAAAACGAAACGAAAAGGGCTTGGCCAACGAGGCCTGGACGCAGTTCTGGGAATATTTATCGCGCGACTATGTTATTTTACACGCTACCGGTTACACCTCGGCTAACGTTAATATTGCGAAAATATTATTGTCGACTAGGATGCGTATAGCTTGATATCTAGGCTAGCGCAGGTTGAATATCGACCAATTCGTTAATCGTGGACGTTAAATGGATCTGTGGTCGATGCAGTAAATATTTGCGGTGCGGCATAAATAGGTTTAACGTGTTCGAGCGAGGGTGAATGTCTGGTGGTCGTTCGTTATCGATGCTGAAGCTAAGATTTTAATAGGCCCAGTAATTAGAGTCGCAAAGGAAGGTTGGTACGGTTGATCGGGCGATTCTACTTACATTATTTTTCGGCGGGAACGAAGGTTCCGTGTAGTCGGCGCTGTAACGATAACCCAGAGGGTTCGGTACGGGACCAGCCAGCGCCAATGCATTCACGCCTCTCGTGCTGCCTTCGCCCTCGCTGTCGAGTGCTGTCACGCTTTCTGCGTTGCTGACACTCGATCCTGCTCGTATATCCGCTTTGACATCCGAAAGGTTGCTGCTTCTGTCACTCTCTCGATATCGATCCGCGTTCGAATCTGTTTCTTCTGTCGGACGATGAAAACAGAAACCACTCGTGTCAGGGCGCAATTTTGTTAGCTCCTAACGTTAACTCGCGACTGATGGAACAAACGTTTGAACAACTGGTAGGGTAGAGTCAGCATCCTCTCATAAGTAATTTTAAATAGTAGACATATTAAATATTGGGTTGGTGCATAATTTCATAATAAAATTTAAAAAAAAAAAAAAAACGACGGATAATTATACACCAATCCAATAGTTACCGTGTTTTGTCATCGATTTGAACGATATCGCAAGCCCTATGCGTGACGTGCATTGTCCCTAATAGCTCCTATCCAGCTGTAATCAATCATACGCGAGACTTTGGAGGTGTGTGTGTGTATGTGTGTGTGTGTCTCGTTGACTCCACCCTGCCTGTCGAGGATTAAGTTGAATGCATCGGACTCGTTTGCATTCAATAACCAATCCTACGTCCGTGGAACGTTTTTCCGCGTCGTTAGCGATGGATGCCAAACGATAACGGGCGTTTCTCCTCCACGGGCGAGGAACGTAACACGAAGAAATTACGAAACGACGAGTCACGAGGGCAAAAACAATATGGAATGCGCGGTCGCTACTAATGGCGATATAATTCATTCGAACATGATATTCCACTCACGCATATCAGTCTCCTGGGTCTGGGCAGTCCTCGGCCGCGGTTGTTTGATGCGGTCACGGCACTGCAGAATGAGTATAATGATCACTCCGATCAGGATCACACAGACGACCAATCCGCCGATGATGAGAATCAGCTGCCAATCGACTGGAATCAACGCTAAGCGTCACGGCTGGTTAAAATCTCGGGTATTTAGCTCAACGTGTGAGGCGTCGTTTTTCTTTTTCAAAACAATTAAAACGACCGCGTGTAAAATAAAATTCGCACGGCCACGTGTGCCGTGGACTGCTTAACGAGGCCTGCTAAATTTTACAAAGTGTACGCAAAATGCGCGTGGACCGCGCGTGTCGGTTAATTGAATTCCAGGGAATATACGATGTAACCCGCGCATCGGTTGGCGAAACTTTATCAAACTGTGGCCCGAATCGTTAACGATACCGAGAGTAAGAATCCGAATGATGTATCGTACGCGAAATAATCGTTCATCCACGACCCGCGGCAGCGAAATGTAAATCGACCCGAGAATCAAAATGAGTTCGTCATTTCTGGATCGCGGATCGAACGCGTCGGATGCCGCGTTTTTGACGAACGGATATCGGAGAACGCGAGCGAATCGGATTCCACGAGCGGTGCGATTTTTCGTAAACCGCGATTCGGCGGTACGCCATTGCCGAAGAATTCCTTCGTTCCGCGCGAGAGCGTTTCGAGTTCTTTTCGTGGCTCGGAAACGCTGCCAATTTCGAGGCGCGGAATCGCTGGCGGAGAGGAAATATACACACCGGGGGAAAGGGAGCAAGAGATGGGGGAGAAGGGCGGTCATAATGGATACGAAGATATGAACTTACTGTGTGCCGTCAGCTTGATTATGACGGAATCCGTGCCGAAGCTATTCGTGACCGTGCAGTTGTAATCCCCAAAGTACGCGGATATAGGATCGAGCAGCGTGACAGTGCTGACGACCCTCTCGCCGGTGTATTCCTCTTGCACGTCGAAAGGCGTATTGTTCGACGAGAAATTGAGCTCGCGACCGGCGAAGCTCCATACCACCGAGTCCGCTTTTGGCACAGATATCGCGGTACACTTCACCTGCGAAATCGAGAAGGAACAGTCGAATGAAAAAGGTCTGCCGTTTCGTCGTTTGCCTCCTACGCCCGAACCGCCGATAACCGCGAAGCGCCTGCTTTTAACCGTCCGTCAGCGGAGCTGGATCAGTTTTTGATCCGCAAGCACGATTCCACGCGAGAATTATAAATCAACTCGATCATTCGATACCAGGATTTTTTTCTAACCCGCGAGTGTCCACAAAAACAGCCTAGATCCCATCGAAAAATATCCATCGCCTGTGGCAAAACCATTCGTTGTTCGAGCCATGGATTTCGGAGACGTCTCGCGACCGTGCCCGCGTATTTTCCATAAATGTCCCATCGCGAATTTCGCGGGGGGAGTTATGGGAGCGTAAATCGAGCCCGTGGCAGCGTTGTCGGGTTTTACGGGACACCGAAAATCGGACCAAAAACGAATGCCGGCGTTCAACGGACTTTCGGAAGCCCGTGGCTCCGATACCAGCGTAAAATTCGCGTGTGGCGCGGTTCAATGGCTTAAAACGATGGGATTTGGTGAGGAGAGGAGAAGGATCGACAAAGAGTACCTTGACGACCCCCTCGTCGGGCACGTATTGAACCCTCTGCGACACGATGCTCGGCGGCGCCCGGATGTAGATGTTGGCGTAGCCCGTCAGCTCGGGGAAGCCGGGCACGCGAGCTTTGCAGAAGTACCGTCCGGCTGTCTCGTGATTCACCACCACGCTTATGTTCGCCGTAGTGGCGACCTGTCGCTCCGAGTCCTCGTGGTACCATCTTATCTCTGGGCTAGGGTTCCCGTCGACGTCGCACTGCAAGATCTCCGTCGCCCCGTACTGCGTCTGCACGGAGACTGGTGGATGGCGAAACTGCGGCCCGTCTGCGGAATTCAATTTTAACCTCCCATCAATACCCACGACATTCGTCGATGAGAGAAAAAGGTATCGTGCTCTGATCGAGAATAGCTAACATTTCAAAGACTCGATTCGCATGAAATAAATTCTAGAGATTATAGAGACTATTACTACGATTATCGAGATGCTAGATCTCCTTTTTGGCATGTTTGATTATAATTGCTCCGTTATTATCAAGCCCGCAGAAAATGAATTTCGACCGGTAGATTGTTTAAAATCTGATCACGTTTTGGGAAATCTATCCTACTGCGGTAAGTCCGAAATGAGTCTAGCCAGCCCCAATTTTCTAGGACGTTACGCGGACTCACGTTCGCCACTTCTGCTCGTAAAGGCGACCATAAATCGACCGTAAAGCATAGAGGACGCTCCGAAAATACGCCGGCAAACGCCGGTTCCCCTAAGAGGTCCAATTTATCCTTTTCCTCCGGTTTTCACAAACGTGATCCCAAATTTCGCTGATGCCTTGCGCGGGACCCGCGATCCTGGGAGCCCGCTAAGTAGCGCGTCGAAATGATATCGGAGTGAGCCGCTGGTCGGGCTAGCAGGATATAGAAAGAATGGACGACTCAGCGTATAATAACGCGCAGATTCGGTCCGGGGTTTTATAAAACTGCTTTCCTACTTCGTGGAAATTCGTGATACGTAATTTCGGTCTACGATCCGCTGCACGATATCGCCCCCGAGAATTATTCCTGTTCTCCCCGGTCGAATTCAAGGAGTTCAGCTCGAAGGTGAAAGAAATCGATTTCCTCTTTGGATCCCCGTAAAGTTTGAAGTCTTAAAAACGTGATCGCAGAGTATTACGGGGAAATTCGGAAAATTGACAAAGTTATAGGACTTTCGACCGAACCCTGCATGTATGCGGGAACTCCGAAGTAGGCAAAACTTTGGAGCAGCATAATATCATTGACGTCAAATGCTCCAAGTATATCAAGTAAATACTCCTTTATAGCATGCGCTAAACTTCTTAATTTCAATTTTTAATATCATTTGGATACTCACACGTTATGACTAGGGTCTCTGTGTCCTCGCTCCTGCCAACGTCGTTGTGGACCTCGCACTTTACGATCGAGTCGTGAAGATCGCGGGTCGCGTTGTGGATAATCATCTCCTTGGTGTAGTCTCCGATGACTTTCTTCTCGTTGATAAACCACCTGGTAAGAGAGAATGGGTTAGCCCGAGCCAGCCTAATGCACGTTTCCCTGGCTAGTCTCTACTTCTCGCAAACACTCTTTTCCTCCGAGAGGGCCTGTCCATTACGTTCGAAAAACATTTTCTCGTCTCGTTGGTTCAGGAAAGAGACGATAACGCGGAAACGACAACCTCTCCTGAATTAGTTCCGCGAGATCGCGTTCTTCATTGAACGGTCTTCCTCGTGATTGTGGTTTATGCCCGTTCCCGGAACGCGAACCGTCGACGCGGAGTCGCGAGATTTATCTCGCTCGACGGTACAATCGATGAAAAGAGCGGCGAGGATCGTTTGGGATGGCAATAAAGGAGAGAGGCGCCTCTTTTCAACGCTCGAATCGCGCTCACATACGTTATCGGGATGGGAAAAGAGGGAAACTGAATGGAACGAGCACGAAAGTTGGCGAGCTCGTGTATCTTGGAAAGCATCCCGACACCCTTTCCTCGCACCCACACCGCCGCTCGTAATTATTTACTACAACTTTACGTCCTCCCGTGAATGCCAGGAGAGTTTTTAGAAAACGTTTCGAGCAACGGAGAAACGGAATAATTACTATCCCTGAGCGAATAGGATTTATCAACCCTTAGCTATCTCATCTGGATTGACTAATTTTTAATTAGCTATTATTATATTATAACGTAACGCTTGATTAAAACCTGTTCGTCGTGGACCTCGCGGACCATTTCGAATGTTGGAGAACGTGAAAGCGTAGAGTCGTTGGCACGGTGGTCCGCTTTTGGTTTCGTTTCGCGATCTCCCTTTTACCATTCTCGCGAGGGCAAACTGTATGCACTGTGTGTGATGGTGTTTCCATGCACAGAGTAACTCGCAAAGCTATCGTAACGGGCGACAAGACAACGCGTAATGCAACGCATGACCGGCTAACATTGTCCTAAACTTTCCATTGTTCTCCCTTTGTAACGAGTATCAATTATTCGTTTGCTCCGCGGCGCAACCGATTGCCAGCTAATTCTCCTTTTGTTCCGTGTGTGCCGGTGCACCAACGGCGCGGCGTTGTTCGACAAAACAACGCTTCCGCGCTTTGTAAAAACCAACGAAATAAGCACCGTTTCGATCATGGATATCCGCGAACGAGCGATTCTCACGTGCTCCATGGATACACCGGGGTATTTCACCGCGTGAAACGTGTAGGACGAGATACAAGGGACAGTAATACTTTTCTTCCGTTAATAATAACTCCTACTATCTTCGTCCAATTCAGCTGAAATTTTCTTTAGTTACCTTTCATACTTCGACGGAAATTACAGGCTACTTACTTTAGGCACTACGCGATAATTAATCTTCGTAAATAAATGATGTCATAAGTTTGAGGAGCACGCGAGTATTTCAGCAAACTTACGGGTGGAATTACGAGATTAATATCGTACACCCTACGATGTATAATTAACCGGTAATTTATGTCCGTCGTGAAAAAGAGTTACGATCACGCGCTGTTCCATACACAGAGGGTCGAGTTGATCAAACATTTTTGGAAGTGATCTTCGCTAGGGAAATTTCCCTGTCCTGCAACCGTGAACCACAGCGCAGACATCGACGCCCGCTGCACGCGACGTCGTTTCCAATTCGAGGGGGGTCCTCGTAGCGGGTATCGATTGTCAGCGTCCTCGTCACTGGGGCAACCAGAGCTAGGTACTCGTGTTCCTCGCTATCACTCACCTGTACTCCACGTCGGGCGGATTGGCCTTGACGAGACATTTGAACCGGAGCTCGCTTCCCTCGACGATGGGATCGTCTTTGCGCTGGCCCGAGCGGATCGTCAGAGACACATTCGGCGCGTAGCGAACCTGAAAACCGAGATACGAGCCCTCGATAAGACGGGTTGCACACAGGATGCTCGAAACGTCACGCGAGCCGATGCTCAAACTTTCATGACCATCGCCGCGACGCGACGCGATCGATCGCGACCGGCCTGACTCGCGTGACTCCTAGGACGCTGCCTTACTTTATTTTCCGACGGACGTAATTTCTCAACAATTAATATCGCGCGGCGACGAGACGGTAAACGATGTCTCGGCCACAGATGGCCAGAATTTTGTTCGAATAATAGCCGACGAATAACAACGACTTTCTTTTTTTTTTTTTATTCTCTAGTACTTCTACCAATTAAAATGACCAATCAATGCATAGCGAATGATGCTTCGGTATTTTTGTATGCACACAAGCATGGTCTCTTTATCAAACTAGGTTACACCGACGCGAAGATTTTAATTAAAATTAAATTATTCCGTTTATTTAATTCACAGAAAGAGAGAGAGAGAGAGAGAGAGGGAGAGAGAGCGAAATTCTTTTGAAAGACTTCACCAACCAATTTTGACAGGTTGCGTTTAACGCGTGCTCGTTTGCTTTAATTAATCAAGAAGTTTCTAATAAAATGGAAACTGATTGTTCTGTGAAAATGGGATGTCTAAAGCGAGTAGAATATCTGTAGAATGAATAAAGCTCGTTCATCTTTTATCCGGGACTCGAAATTTTCATCTGTGCGATCTACCGGTTGAACCGGCGTCGGTGAAGTTTCAGTTCGCTTCATTGTCTCAGGGACGAAAGCAAAGTCGAGGCAGCAGAGGGACGAAAGTAGCCCCGGTCTAGGCTGACGATTACACGGACCAGTTTTCGGGACATGGCGTTAATTATTCTTCAACCTCGTTACCGCGTTTCTGGCCGAGTTCGCGTGGCCCGTGTGTTAATCTCGTTCCGCGTTCGAAAAAAAAAAAAAAAAAAATGGGTTGGCGAGAAAAATGCGCAAAAGCCCGGAATCCCTTTTTAGCCACGATGGCCCAGTTCTCTGGTCCTCTGTTCCCTCTCGTTCGACTCACCTCGACGCGCAGCTTGGCGTTCTGCGGCGTGCGGTCGGCCGCGTTCTGACTTTGGCACGTGAATGTCGTGTTGTCGTGGTCCTTCCGCGGCATCACCTTCAGGACGGATTTCACGGTGTACAGGGGACCGCCGTCGAATAATTCCTTCGTCGTCTCTATTCCCTTGTGCAGCACATTTCCCAGCCCGTCGATCCACGTGATCTGCAATCAAATAAAAATCATCGATGCAGACTTGCTCCAAGATATTAAAAGTAAATGGACGGTTCTTCAAAGCCCATGTACTCAATGTCCAATCGATTTTCCAAAAATTATAAAGTGGAAGAATTCTCGTTTCGTCAGTTTTCGCGTTCATTCGTGGTTAACGAACGAGTTCCTATCCACGTAAATATTAATTTAAGGAAGAAGATTGCATCCTATTCTTCGCGATAGACGATGACACGTTAATTCAATCTTTGTTACGAGCAATTAAGTAACGTGTTATGTTGCATCGGAAAAGTCATCAGTCGTTAATTAAACTTCTGTTGATATAAACTCAACGATTTTCAAATATTCTTACACCAGCAAATCATCCTTTGCCGAACTTTATTGCATAAATCGGTCACGATGGATGCTCGTGATCGGGTTTTGAAACGGCTTCGCAAAGTTTCGGGTTCTGGCCAGTCGAGCTTCCAGCAATTGCGAGCCTCGGTCGCGGGGATCTCGAACTTTCAAATTTTCTCGGGAATTAATTCGACCCCCAACCCCTTTCGAGTCCCTGATTGAAAATCTACCCTCGTTACGAGTTTGGATCGAGCCGAGATAGAGTGTCGCCTTTTCTCGTCCAGCTAGTCCCCGAAACACTGACTCAAGAGCGAGCGTGCATCCTGTTGTTCAAACGATTCCGCGCCTTTTATTGCAAATCTCGCGACGCGCTATCAATTCCGGTGTTTCGAAAAATTTCGTCGATTGCCAATTGACGGATAACAAGGCGAATTCGGAGAACACGAATCGCAAAGATAACTGACCGACATTGTTTTCAGAGGAACCTCTAAAAAATTGAACGTTCGGAACTCTGGTACGCACTCGGGAATCGAGTACTTGTTCGGCTATCCACATAATGAAAGTGTGCTCGTTGGAGAACAGACGCTCGAAAAAATCTCACTATTGCCTACTCGACGAGAATCGATACACACTTTTCCGGGACACTTCACTGGTTCTGAAACTGTTTATATGTCATCAGATCGTTTAACAGTCATTTTTCTATCATATTTTTTCCGTTCTTCTTAATATCGTTACTTTTCTACATCAACGACTGTCGGCGAGCCAACTGTCCATAAAAATATATCGACAGTTTATAATGCCATAAACCTGATTCAACATATTTTTCATTGGAAAAACCAAGTGATTGGGAAAGGATGCAGGCATCTCGCGAACGTTTCGCGAAAAGGCGTTACGCGAGTAAAAAAGTTTAGGAAACGGTAGCCTAGGTGGTTGGAACGCGCACACGTTGCACAGGTGGTGCGTGTACGAGTATGCGTGTGCACGCGAATGAGAGATAGAGAGATTGGCTGCTTCGACGTAGCTGCACCGACGGGAATCGATCGTATCGTCTATAATTAGCCATGCTGCATCAGTGCTTCTGCACTCTCATATCACTGCATAGTCCCGACGATGCTCGAGTACTATTTACGATGCTCGCAGCGTTAAGGCGCGTTGTAATTTTAATAAACGCGCCGCAATTACGTCCAAGAGGGCTGCGACGACGTCAAGAGAATGGGGGCAGGGAAAGAAAGGGACGATCTTCAGGAGTAGATGGACGGTCTTTGGAATTTCTTTTCCCTGCTCGATGAATATTCGATGAGCGGGCGGGTTCGCCTCCCCCTTGGCACGGAACTTCTCTTGCATCTTGACTCGGGGAAAATATACGTACTCCCTTCGCGCGTTTGCTCTACGACTTCGTTTCAGGTTCGTCGGCGACTGCTGGGGTGGCAATCCCGCTGATGGATCTTCAACTTCGTCTGGACAATGCGAGAAATAATACGAGGTGCTCATTGGGAATAATGTACTAACGTTGCAACACAGCGAACCCAAATGCTCCTGAGAAAATGGGCTTTCGTTGAGTGGAACGGGCATCGACTTCCCTCATCTTTCAACCGAGTCATAGGCAGACAGTTGCGTTTTGGTAGCGTTAAGTAATGAAACGTAATTGCGAGGTCGGTAGACGGAGAAATCGTTCGAATTTTCCTTATGTTCGTTGCGAGCTGAAGTCAAGGAGGGTGCTCGTAGCTCGTAGACGAACAAACTTGGACAATTTGTTCAGCTACTAGTTAAATAATTATTCGTATCCTCTTGTTCTCGAAGTGGTTGTTTCTGGAAGGTTTTGTATTTTGCAATCAGGAGGAAATTTATCGCAACAAAAAGTTGTACATGCCGATTCGAAGCTTTTTCGAACTAAGATTGAACTCGTAAAAGGCTGGAATACATAACTGCACTTTTTGCTTTCGCTGAATACTCGTCAGCGGCGGTAGTATGACTTTAAAATGAGTTGTTCTTGTTAGTCTTCGCTATATCGAGTTGTATTGGCGTGGCAAATGGAGGAAGAAGCTAGCAAACCGGTTGGGAAAGCGTAGTCGTTGCTATAAAGACGAAGAGAGCGATCCTGCATAAGAGATCATGCTGTACAGAGTAACACTGAAAAATAACTTCCTTTATTAACGCAATATCGCAATTCTGATGTCTCGACCTCGACGAATACAGAACTAAATCTGGGTCTCGAGAGACCCGCCATCCGAGAGTCGAACGGTGATTACGAACTCGAAGCTCGATCGATCGATCGATCTTCTCCACCCTAAATAAACGCACCGTGTACGTTCGAGCAACGTTCACCGATTCTTCCATCGAGCGGGTTTTTACGACCTAAATATCACTAGGAACGTCAGTCGCGATCGTTCCATACGCGTCACGCAGAATCCCCTTTTGTGAAACGGTGTCTCCGTAACCTTGGCTCGGCCCGTTTATTTCCAGCCGAGTCTTCCCCTAACGTTCTTGTATTTTTATAATTCCACGTAACCGTAAGGTAATCTCGTTTAATATTTCCGCGTCGGTTCGTTAACGGGTGTTTTATAGTCCTTTATGGAATTAATTAAGAACCGGGAAAGAGGAACGACGCTGAACACAGGTAGATAGAGAGACTCGGTAAGATCAGCGCCGTTTTATCACGCGTTTCTGTGAACATGTTTCTCGTCTGTATTCGACTAATTTTTAATACGCACGCCACGCTTGCACCGAAAATAAAAACTACATCAAACAGTGGCTTTCATTGCGGGATTCAATTTCTTCACGCATCCAGTTTTTGTAAGAGAGCTACAGCTCGTTCCAGCTAGTAAAAACATTCCGTGTATGTAATAATTAGTAATACAGAGATACCTTGGTATCTCTTTACACTTAAATTTCACTTCCAAAACGGCGTACCGGAACGAATACCCATAACACAGAACGAAAACGTGAACTTTAAACTCTCGGAAAATGTTATTAATAAAGAATCTTCTCGGTCCAACAAGGTGGAAAGCCCCTAAATCAGCTCCAGCCTGCGGCCTGGTAGTATTAGCTACTAAGCTCAACTGTCGCACATCGTAGGCCTTATCGACGTTAATTGGGAAACCAAAGCCGAGGGGGATACGATCCCGGTGGTAATTCAGGGTCCTAGCCGTGCCTTCTCCTCTATCTTCGTTCGCCTTTCATTTCGGTAGCTGGTAATTAAAGACGTCCGACAAGTAAAAGGAGCATTTGCCAGGACGATTTTGCCCATTCCCGAGCTCCGCTCCGTTCTCGAGTCGTCGATGTTAGCTAGGGCATACCACCCACGGGAAATTATTAGCCACGAGTTCGGATCGCAAGCGTGCGCACGCCGGTATTACATAATTCGCGATACGATTCGCAGATATGTTTCGGCGTTCGTGAATTATTCGCGGTGGCCACGAACGTAGCACCAGCTGCCTATTAATAAATACAATCGGCTAGATTCGCTCGAGCCGAGGATATCTCAGCGTTAAATCGCGGCTAGAATCGAACGATGAATGAAAGAGGAACGACGTTTTCCCTCTTAGCCGACATTCTTCCGTTTAATTGCGCTCAGACGGATAATTCGATCGAACGAATTCGCCTCGCGTCGTTTCCCTAACGAGCAGGCTTTCTACTTATTTCAGCAGTGACTGGTATCGAATTTCGAACCGTTGCGTACTTCAATTCCAGACGCTTCGAATTATATTTAAAAAATAATAATAAATTTTTGGCGATAGCAATTCCTTTTAATTATTCTTGATAAAAATTCTAATCACCGAATCTGAATTCCACCCGGCAAGTTCTCCAGTTTCCTAGCGTTCACAGCTACGCGTAATCAGATTTACAATCTCGCTGAATTCATACGGAATTGCGGGCAGACGCGTCAGCGCGCCATCAACGCATTGTTTTTTCATCGCGTAGACGCGGAAACCCGTTTCGCGTTACCTCATTAAGTACTCGTAAATATAAGAGAAGTCGGGGAATGTCGTGGTCCGCTCGCGTAACTTGCGAACGAATCCCATCAGGTTTCATTAGATGCGAATCAAGTCGGATACGACAAAGGGGAGAAGAGCTGGTCCGGCAAAAACGACTGTTCGCCTACCCCTAATGAAATTAATTATCCGCCGTGGCCGTGCGTTATCGAGCGACACGCGTTATACCGTTATAATTACCATCCTGGTTTCACCGGGACAGACGGCGGTGTCGCGTGGAACAGTTCCCAGCCGCGAAACGAGACCAACCTGTGCGGCCTGCACTTGACATTAGAGCTGTTCGATTCTACGTTACGGTTTAATCGCCAACAATCGATGTGTTGTCGAGAAAACTAATCAGGCTAGTGCATTTTCACGATTGGAATAAGGAAACGTTCTGGGAGCTTCTCGATGATATTTTTAATTATTTTCTTAGAATGCATAATACACGAAGATGTATCGTTTAGCTTGCTCTTGTTATCAGAAAAAGCATTTTACTGTAGTATCCGCGCCTCCCATACCCAAGCATAAGAAGTCAAACGACGACACGAGGGATTGGTCGCGTAGGTAAAGCGAGGATCGTGGGTTCGAATCTCCGTGCCTCATTTTTCGTTTAAACTTCTACGTTACTATACCCAATGATCGCATCCTGAGCTCATCGGCAACTCTGGCAAATATTATCAATACTCG